ACACACATACAATTTCAATGTACAACAATTAATACACAAAAAAACGGTGAAACCTGTGCTGCTGCTCCCCGTTGAATCCAGACTGGAACGGCGACAGTCTTTTGAGATGATGACGATGACAAATGATAATTTGATAGTCGCTGGAATACATCCGGAATGTAGTGAGCGAGTCTGACTCCAACTATCTCGAAACTACGACAATTGCCACTACACTTCACGGTATAATAAAAACTAGTTATGCTGTACACAGACACAAAAAAAAACACACATTGTAAAATTAATACATTCATCACTTCGTTCAGAATCTAAAAAACTAATAATGATCGAAAATTGCATATGCCTATAAATAGTTCAACTTGAGTCGAAAATTTTTTAATATTGCATGGTGGATATAATATATTTATATAAAACATTTGGTGAAAATGTCATGTATCTATGGTAATTTGTTTTAAAGTTACATCAAAAACCAAAATTGATTTTGTCGAAAATTGATTGTGCGTAAAATTTCCCGTGTTTCCCTTAATTTTTTTGTTTGTTTATCCCGATTATTTAGAAAAATATTAAGAATTTTTTACTTTTGACCCCCTTAAGTACCAACTAGATTCACTTTCTGATCGAAGTATCGAATGAGATGCTGAAGTCGAAAATCAAAGCACTTTTACCACAGAATAGATTAAATGCTTTTACTGTCCCAAAACGTGATGACAGACACGAAAAAAAACTCACATGGTAAAATCAATACATTCCTCGCTCCGCTCAGAATCTAAAAGTTTAGCAATATGCACACTAATTGTATATCCTTTAAAAAAATATATCAATTCATTTTTTAAAGTAGTATACAATTATTGTTTAAATCAAATTCAAAATAGTAATTAATTGTCAATGAACAAAAGCATACATTACTAAGGGACGTGATACCCGCTTGGCCGCATATGTGTCGTCTCCGTCTTTTAAGTGCATAACATGGCAATATTTACGCTCAGCTGCTCAGCAGAACACGTGTAGCTCTGTTAGTTTAAAATTTAAAATGAATTGAAATCTAATAMATTTTAAAGGCAAGATAATTATCTAAGATGTAAAAACTATTTACTATTTTAAAATACTTATAACTCGCATCAAAATTAAAATATTATGAAAAGCCTATGAGGTTGTCTATATAATAATCTTACCTTTAAATTGTATTAGATATCAATATTTAATTCAAACTAAATTCCAAACTAACAGAGCTACACGTGTTCGGCTGAGCGTAAAAATTGGTAGGTATGTTGTACTACTTGTACTTGTAAGACGGATAAAACTCATGCTGGTGTCACTTCTTCTTAATAAATTAGTTATTAATTTATTGTGAATTGTTTTTTATTCGTTTGAAGAATTTGGAGATTGCAGAATGTAGTCTTATATAATCAAGTATGTCCAAAACATCCAAAATACTTAAATACATAATTACTTATACATATTTAATAACATAAAAAAATAAAGATAATTTACATCATTACTCTAGTAGTTTCAAACAGTAAAATTATATTTTATTCTA